AGATGGTGGTCCAGGTGTGTTTATCTCAGTGGTGGGTCACGGCTCTCGCTGGTACAGGGTACTGTCTAGTGCTGAATCCAGTGGCTTAAACACTGTTCAACACTGTTCAACACTAATCCCACTTATTTCCGAAACGAAATTGTCACTTTTGATTATGTTGATATCCCGGTGGTGAGGATGGGCCAAGGGGGGCAGCAGGAGCAGCGCCTGATAGGTCTTGGCACTCCGGTGGTCTGCCTGTCTCTCTCTGTCTGTCTGTGATCCGATCACGTTTTTCTGTCTGACAGTAAACGTGTTCCCGGGAGAGGAGAACAGCCTAGAGATGAGTCAGCTGTACACCGCCACCTACAGCTGCGACTTCCATCTGGCTATGTTCCCCTTCGACTCTCAGGTCAGTACCAGAGAGGTCAGAGATCATCATGGTCTTCTAGGTGAGTGCCAGAGAGATCAGAGGTCATCATGGTCTTCTAGGTGAGTGTCAGAGAGATCAGAGGTCATCATGGTCTTCTAGGTGAGTGTCAGAGAGTCAGAGGTCATTATGGTCTTCTAGGTGAGTGTCAGAGAGGTCAGAGGTCATTATGGTCTTCTAGGTGAGTGTCAGAGAGGTCAGAGGTCATCATGGTCTTCTAGGTGAGTGCCAGAGAGATCAGAGGTCATCATGGTCTTCTAAGTGAGTGTCAGAGAGGTCAGAGGTCATTATGGTCTTCTAGATGAGTGTCAGAGAGGTCACAGCTTCAGCATGACACCTGGTGAACCACAGTTGACCTAAATGACTCTGATACAAGAGTTTACCATAATTAACCTCTAATCACCTAAATTGATTCTAGATTACTCCGTATGACCTAATTTGACTCAGAATAACCCCAGATGACCCAGTTTGACCTCTCCGCCAGGTTTGTCAATTGACCTTTACATTGGTGTCAGCGGCGTCCTCCTACATGGTGTTGGATCCTGACGTGGCCACCTATACTGGACCCAAGTACCTGATTGAGTACGAGATAGGTGAGTCTCCTTATCTCTCACTGAGTACGAGATAAATGAGTCTCTCTCTCTCTCTCTCTCTCTCTCTCTCTCTCTCTCTCTCTCTCTCTCCTGTTGTAGTAATAATGAAGATGATTCCAACAGCAACAGTAATAACAATAATAATAACAAACACACTACTACCACTACTACCACTACTACTACTACTTCTGGTACCACTTTTTTTTTAACGTGGCCTCCAGCCTCCCCCAATAGCAACACCTTCGCCACCATTTTATTACCTTAATATTAAATATCCTAAGACATAAGAAGCTATCCTATCTACTACTACTACTACTACTACTACTACTACTACTAATAATACTACTACTACTACTACTAATAATAATAATAAAATCTCTATATTTACCCAGTAACCATACAGTAATCCTATCTGAAGTTACTTCCCTGACGGCGAACTAACCCCTGGCTTCTTTCCTATCAGGGGAAATCACAATAACGAGGGGACAAACTGGCGAATTTTCCTCGATACAAGTCTTCGCTAGTTTCTATCGTCGCTACACCTTCTATCTCCTAACACTGTATATACCGACTATTCTACTCATTCTCATCGCCTATGCAACTTTCTACTTCAATCCTGATGACTTTAACTCCAGGGTTGTGGTGGCTGTTACCTCCTTGCTGGTGTTGACTTCGCTACTGACGCAGGTAATGTTTTCGTTTGGTTTGTGTTATGGTGGAGGTGGTGGTGTGAGTTTTATAATTGGATGGGTTTTTTTTCTTGGTTTTATGGTTGATTTTAGTTTGTTTTTTAGTTTTGGGTTTAATTGTAGTTTTTTTTGTCTTTTGTGAATGTTTTTGGTCTCTATATAATTCATTTATCATTCTATTTATCCATTAATCTCTTTCTCATCTCCATCTATCTATCCCCAAACATCCATCATTCTCATACATTTATCTATCCATTTATCTATTTATTTATCTATCTATCTCCATCGTTCTCATCTATCACCATCTCTCCTCCGTTTATCCACTCTCTCTTCTCCAGACCTCGAACGCGTTACCCAAGACCTCCTACTTCAAGTTAATAGACGTGTGGCTCTTCTTCTCCATCGTCATCATCTTCGTCGTCATTCTCCTACAGACCCTCGTTAACTTCTCCAAACCGACCTCCTCTACAGACCACTCTTGGCTTGGCAGACTTGTCGTAAGTATGTGTGGTCTTTGTAAGTACTTAAACCATCTTGGGAACTGTGTATTTGGTTTAGTTTATGTTTACTTTAGTTAGTGTTCATATGATTGCAGTTAATAGAAAACGCAAAAATTTATAGGGGAGACTTATCTAAGTTGAGGTCCCCGTTAGTGGATCAATGTTGGCTCAACAAACTTGTTGTAACTTCGTTTCTATAAATAACTGTAACCTCCTGTAATATTAAGTAACTTCATTGTAACCTCCTGTACCTCTAGTCACCTGCTTCACCCTTATTGTAAACCCCTTTAACCTCTTCTACTCTCATTTTAACCTCATGTAACCTCATATCACACCAAGTTACCTCCTGTAACTTCCAATACCATCCTGTAACCAAACATAACATCCTTACAGAAGCGAATCCTGTCAAAAAAAACGAAGGAGACGCCAGATATTACACCTGTAAGACCCTTTTCACGCCTACCTGGGAAACACCTGCAACAAAGAGCCATACCTAAAGACAAACCAACTGAGAGAACCTCCCATAACGTGACAGAAGACGTAGTCGAGCTTAAGGAAGAACCCAAAGCCCGCCTATCGACTCAAAAATTCTCCAGAAGGCCCCATAGTCACCAGAAGGATGATCATCGTTCCTGTGGTTCTAGGGTGGATGGGAAGGAGGGCAGTGAGGTGAATATGTCCCTCATGATCAAAAGCAGGATTATTATACCCATCATCTGCCTCATATTCAACACCGTGTATTGGGTCATCGCCTTTAGGTAGGTGGAAAGACAGGATCACTCAACTGTCTATGACTTGACTTAACATAACTTTAATTAACTTTAACCTAATTTAACTTTGACTAAATTTAACCTAACTTAACTTATTTTAACCTAACCTAACTAAATCTGATCTAACTTAATTCTAATTCGTGTTTCTCTCTACAGGCAAATCTTCGAGAGGTGAGGTCAACTTGCTGCCAGGAGAGGCCAGGTCAACTATTGGAAGTAGTTACTTTATGTTATGTTGTGTGTAAAGTTAGAGAGAGAGAGAGAGAGAGAGAGAGAGACCCCAGTCATAATACGGGGCCCAGTCCTAACGGGCCCTTATCCCTAATTCGAATGGGGTCTATAATTACTATAACCTTTAAACAAACAAAGAAACAAACAGACAAACTATATAATTATTAACCTCAGCGCTATAAGACGTTCTAATATAAGCTAAAATAATCTGCAGCATTATAAGAATCTACTTTGTAAATAACAGTAACTTGTAAAATGTTAAATTATTATACTTTAATTTACACTTTATTGTAGTATCTGTGTAATTTAACATTGTAAATAGGAGTATTGTTAAGATGTTAAATTGTTAATAATAAGTAACTTATACTCTATTATAGTATATATTCACTAGCTATATTAATGATTGTGATTATAAAATGTTGAAATATTCTAACACGACTCTGTATAGTAGGAATAGGAGTTTAACCTTTTAAATGATAGTACTAATATGTTAATTCATATCAACAAAGTCCCGTGTGTAGTGATATCCTATTCTGCCTTGTATATGGTGATATATTTAACATGTTAATATATAAATAAACTGGTAAATGAGTACTTTTAATTTAACTAAAAGATAATCTCTTTATTGTGATATACAGATACTAACATAATGTGGATATTTTTGACTATTTCTAAGATAACCTTGATAACCCGAACCAAAATAAATACCTCTTCATAACATCACACTTCACTATATATCTCAAGAGAGGAAAGTATCAATAACTCCATCAGGTGAGTATTCTACCTGTAATTTATAACTACAGGTGATATCAATTACAGCAATGACGAAGCCATAAATAACTGGCAATTAGTTGGTGTGGTTTGTCATTCAGGTGAGTTGTAATTAATGGATGGTTTTCGACAGGCGACAAATCATGGAATGTGAAGTTAGTTTCTCAAGTTATATATCAACTGAGGTGACTGTTTTGTTTAGTAATTCATAACTTTCGTAGTCAAGTTTAACTCAGTGTATTTTTATAACTATTTCATTAAATCTTGAATAAACTTTTACACTAGTTAAAATGTGTTCGAATCTCTACAGTAAACCACACATAAGAAACACATTACTGTACCTTGTTAGGGATAGTAGAAGCTGTTTGGGTGATGTTATAGCGTGTGTGATACCTAGACCACAATAACAATTTCTTTTAAGCACGAAGCCCCTCTCTTTGCACTCTTAAACAACAACAATAATCAATGTCATCTATAACGTTTCGTCCCGCTGCCTTGACTAATTCAAGGCTGGACCCTCTCTCCTCCTTTATATCAACCAATCACTGAAAAGCCCCATTAACGTTGTCAATCAATCATATGCTTTGTTTATTATGTCCCGTAACGTGATTGGCTCTCGAATTGTCACACCATTATTACCAGGATTCTCCAAGGTTCACTGTATTTAAGAACCAAAACTAACCTTCAAAATGGCGTAAAATATATATAACGATTTACACTTAGTTACATCAATTATGACTATTATTTTTAGGCTGTATAAGAAGAAAAAATATAAGGAAACTCCACCGAACGAACCCTTGCCATAACTATCAAAGGGTTCAGATTCATGGGTTCGCAATTAATCGTTTGGATTCATGGGTTCGGTTATTGGGTGTTGGAACTGAACCCTTGAATCCAGAGCTTCAGAGTGGACTAGTGAGGTTTACAAGATTAAGGGATCGTCTTTTTCTTCTTCTTCTTCTTCTTCATTGTTGCTATGCTTCCTCCTCCTCCTCCTCCTCTTTTTCTTCTTCGTCCTCCTTCTCTACGTCTTTTTCTTCTTCCTCTTCTTCCTCCTCCTCTTATTCTTCTTCTTATATCCTCTTCTTTGTTGATGTTCTGCTCTTTTCTTTCTCTCCTTCCTCCTCACCCCTTTCTTGGTCGCTTACACCCCAGTTATTTGTATCATGTGGCTGAAAGGGAGAGGAAGAAGTATGATAATTTATACGAATGAACCAATGATAAACCATGATAATATAAGCAGAAAGGAAAGACAAGGTTGATAAAGAGATACAAGTATAATAACCGTAAAAAAAGTATGTAAAGTAAGCCAAAGTATGAGTGTGTATGGTAAATTAGTATTGTATTGTACGAGGATTATTATAAGGTCAAAAGTATGATATAAGTCAAAGTATTACTATTAATCAAGTGTGTATGAGGATTTATATGTGTGTATTTTATTTTGTATATTTTATCTTATTATTTGTGTATGTGTCTGGATGAGTGTATAAATGAACTGTGTACGTGTGTGTATGAATGTGAGTCTGTGATTTAAACGTGTGTGTATGCCTGTGTAGGTGTATGTAATTCAACCGTGTGTAAGTATATCTTTTTCTCTGTATGTATGCCTGTGTATGTATATGTAGTTTAACCGTGTATGTATCTTAGTCTCAGTGTGCATGTGTCTCTAAATATCTGAATCCCTGTACGTATGTCTGTCAGTGTATCCATACATGACCTACCTGAATGCAATCCCCCAGTAGCACATATTAAACACCACAAATATCACAGGTATCAGGAACCGACTCTTGATCATAAGAGACATATTCACACCCTTCCGTTCCGCCTGAGAGAGCCACGATCCTAGCCTCCTCTTCCTTCTCCTCGGCTCACGTAGATCAGATTCTTGCCTCTTGCTCTCACTCCCCGTCTGCTTTACAATCCCTGAATGCGTCTCTCTCTGCCGCAGGTTTGGACGTTCGTATAAAACCACATCTTCATTTCTGGGGAAGTAAATATTATGAGTTCGTGATGTCTCGGTGTTGTTTTTGTTGAAGGGATTAACAGGGTGACTTTCTTGGTCGTAGGTTGATTGACGAGTGAGGTGATTGTCACTACCTGCCTTAAATCCTTCGTCAGGTACCTCGTCAGTTGCCACGGGTCTCTGAAACTGCTTGGTATGCCCGTGCACCAGTTTATTCTGAAACAAGATTCACCATTAGTCTGACGATAAATGCTGAAATGATAAATAAACATAACAATTCAAAAAGGAACAAAAAATTAACATGATTCTCAAAAGCAAAAAATATCAACACTTACGATAAATTTACCAAGGCAAGAATGATCAGCTGAGGCGTTCTGGTTGGAGAAGTTAACGAGAGTCTGCAGGAGAATGACGACGAAGATGATGACGATGGAGAAGAAGAGCCACACGTCTATTAACTTGAAGTAGGAGGTCTTGGGTAACGCGTTCGAGGTCTGGGAAAAAGTCTTGAAAATACACATAAGGAATTTGTATAAGTTTGTGTCCGCCTTCCCCAAGTCTTGAACCACTACTGTTTTTATTATTATTATTATTATTATTATTATTATTATTATTATTATTATTATTATTATTATTATTATTATTATTATTATTATTATTATTATTATTATTATTATTATCGTCATTATTATTATCATTATTTATACTTTATTTATATATCAACATAATCCTTTATTTAAATTCGTTAATTATATATACTCGTAATTTATATTATAGAAATTAAAATAATATAAAGAAAATTATAAAATAAATAATTAATAAATTCACGACTCATAAAGATAATAAATTTAAAATCAATTAAAATCTGGTTTGTTTATAAAAATTTGACCCACTTGTGAATTCACCACAAGGGGGCACAGTTATTAACCTTATGGCAGGGGGGGGGGTCATTAAGGTTTATAGGTGTTAATTGTCCTTATTTAATAGGAATGAAGTAAGGTAAACACGTTAACAGAGACGGGCAGACGGAGAAGACACTAAAACGTATATTAAAAGTAAAGAAAGTCCGTTCTAACATCATCATACATTACCAACACCACAGTCTGACATCAACACCACAGACTGACTGGATAAACAAAAAGAATGACTGGGTAAACCAACAGACTGGATAAACAAGACGATTGACTGGATAAACAAACCGATTGACTGGATAAACAAACCGAGTGACTGGATAAACAAACATATCAACTGGCTAAATAGATTGACTGATTAAAGAGACAGACTGGATAGACAAACAAACTTACTGGATAAACAAACTGTCTGGATAAAGACTAAAGGGATAAACAAACAGACTGACTGACGATGACCAATTCTTACTACCTGGGTAAACAATGACGTCAACACCAACAGGGAAGTAATGGCGACAGTGATCCTAGAGTTGAAGTCCTCGGGGTTGAAGAAGAAGGTGGCGTAGGCGATGAAGATGAGGAGTGTAGTGGGGATGTAGAGGGTGAGGAGGTAGAAGGTGTAGCGACGGACGAACCTCACCTCCGCCTGCACCGTCGAGAACTCGGTCTTTTCCTCCTCGTGAATCCTGTGCATGGTGATGTCTCCTGAAGGTGGGGGGAATGTGTGTGATTGGTTGTGGGTAATGTCTGATGGCCAATTATAGTCAAGGAAGGGAGAGAGGTGGTGTTTCGTGGCCAATCACAGTCAAGAGAAAGAGGGGTGGTGACTGGTGTCCAATCATAGTCAAGCGAGGGAGAGAGAGGTGTAATCTAGTAGCCAATCATAGCCATGGATTTCATTAGCTACCTATCTCGTACTCAGGGACAGATAAGGAGACGCACCTATCTCGTACTCAGGAAAAGATAAAGAGACTCACCTATCTCGTACTCAATCAGGTACTTGGGTCCAGTGTAGGTGGTCAGGTCAGGATCCAACACCATGTAGGAGGACGCCGCTGACACCAAGGTAAAGGTCAATTGACACACCTGGCGGAGAGGTCAAACTGGGTCATATGGGGTTATTTAGGGTGAAATTGAATCAACCTAGGTTATGAGGAACACCTGGGACTAATATAACTCGTCTGGGGTCAACTTCTTTCAGTAACTAAGGAAATTAAGACAAAGTAAAAAGTTAAGTAGTAAGTTATAACAGAAAACGAAGATCAAACATACCTGGGAATCGAAGGGAAACTTGATTAAATCGAAGTCACAGCTGTAGGTGGTTGTGTACAGTTGACTCATCTCTAAGCTGTTCTCGTGTCCGGAAAATACGTTCACTGGTGGGTGGGGGTCAAGAACGGCGTTAGAATGAACGTACGATGACATGAATGATTTAGAGCGAAAGTGCGACTATTGTGATCGTAAAACAGAAGCAAGACTTGAACGTATGACTAAAATAGTCTCATTAAAGATGCCTATCTATCTGTTTATTTATCTATCTATTTATTCGCACACACAGACAGACACACACACTCAAGTTCTAAAAGTGAATCCTTGACCTCACCTTCGTCGGGCAGGTCAGGAGGGCCAGGCTGTGAAGGACCTTCTCTGACACACTCCACACGTGACCCCAAGTCTAGATTGGTAAACACGTTCCCCTGAGCATTACTAAAGAACACCAGCGGCGTCCAGATCTCCCTGGCGGACTCTCGTGACAGGAGGTTCAGGGTTCGGTCCTCCTTCAGGTTGTGGAAGTTAAGGCGGGTATCCTTCCAGCGGAGGATCAGCTGGAGGGTGACGGTGAAGCCCAGATCCTGCGTGGCGATGGTAGGGAAGGCGATCACTCTGACGCTGAACGAAATGTGGAGAGGTTGGGACTCGTTGGTAGGTGGAGGCGGTATTACGGTGCGGTACCCGGGCGGTATGTCCAGGATGGAGCACTGTGCCTCATCACTTTGGTCTGGGCAGTTGATGCGTAGGTCACAGCGCTCCGTCAAGTCGATGCAAGACCCGTCAGCACAGGTGAACTCCCCTTCATGACAGACAGACAGCGTGAGGTTGACGACGGTGTCTGGACGCATCCCACACACGTCCATTCCCAGCGTCCATGGATGCGTCCCAAAGGGGTACATCCCGTCCTTCACAGGTGACCACCATGCAACCACGTCCGGTTCCTTACGTGTGAGGGGGAACTTATTAATTTGTAGGTTCGTGTCGCTATATAAGATATCACATGAAGGTGTTAAGATGACAGCCGTGACGTTACAGATGATGATTATATCTAAGGAATATTATGATGTGTTTGAGATACAATTGATTTATGGAATGAAATTAGTTGATAGATATACGAACATACAATAGAGCGTCTTTAAGAAGCACATTATTTACCTTGAGAGACTGAAGGTACCAGGTGTTGTTCTCCCAGAAGATATCCGAGTGGAAGAAGCCCACGAGGGAAGGTCGCCCGCCTATTTCCTCCCCAATTAAGTACCGCTGATTAAAGGGCGAGTCAGGACACATGGCGGGGCCCTTTAAATATATAGGCTCTTGCTTCTTAAACTCGCAGGGGACGCAGAAGGAGTAGGAGTTAAGGCAGGCAATGTCGGACCAGCGCCCCGGGAATTTCCCAGAGAGCATCACCAGGCAGTTCTCTTGGCTGCCGCCGTTGGGTCCGTCGCCCCTCCACGGTCCCTCCCAACTGATGGGGGAGGCCGTATCAAGGTAGGCCCAGGTACGCTCCTCGGCCGCGTCAGTGGCACCCAGCCACAGGTAGGACGCCCCCTCTCCCCCAGAGCAGTGATCCGCCTCCTTCTTCGTCCTCTCGTACAGCCACGAGTTCTCCAGCTGATTGACTGGTACCATCACCTCCCCTCCCACCACCTGTACATGACAACACTGTCACTCACTGCTTAGGGTTAGGTTAGTTCAACTTACGTTAGGTCAGGTTGGGTTATATTAAGGCTAGGTTAGATTACGTTACGTTTAGGTTCAGAACAAGCATAAAACACTAACATGACAGAGGTGGTCAGCTTGAGCAAGGTTAAAGCGGTTAGGGAAGATAGTGATGACCCTGGTGGTGGGGTGACACAGGTCATGTCGTGACCTCTGGACCCAAGATGTCTCTCCGTCGATCTGCCACGACTCTAACGACGACGACCACGACAACAGGTCACCAGGTCGTTCCCCCTCACACGACCACATCTGCGACAAACATTATGACTCACCTGTGGCTTAATAATAATAAAAATAATAATAATAATAATAATAATAATAATAATAATAATAATAATAATAATAATAATAATAATAATAATAATAATAATAATAATAACAAAATATAATGACATAGGGAGAGAGTCGTTTAACAAGGTCTTCCACTGTAACTGCAATATAAAAGGATAATAGACAAGGAAGGAAAAAACAAGTTATCTATGGATTGTTGATGATATTTACAATGGTTGAATGGGGCTGTTCATATAGAGATCAGTATGTGGTCGTATGAGCTGGATGCAATTGTGTTATCGAACATGAATACTCAAACGAGGGATCTCACGTGGTAACAGGTGGCGGTGGAAGTCGAAACTCAAAGATCGATGGTTTTGTTGATATTTACATTATGATTGACGAAGGCGAGCACTTTGGAAACGTCTATGCCAGCGTGTATGACAGTAAATATGACAATGAGAATAAGGGTGTGTGTGACAATGACTGTGAGAGTGAGTCTGAGAGTGAGAGCAGGTGTGGAAGAGTGAGAGCAGGTGTGGGAGGGTGAGAGCAGGTGTGGGAGAGTGAGAGCAGGTGTGGGGAGAGTGGCAAAGTTACCTGTGTCAAGGTGTGGTTGTCGAGGGTGCGGGACCAGATGTTAAGGTGAGTTATTTCGCCGCAGAAACTCTGGTCACGTTGGAACCCTCCTCCCAGACTGTCTTGTTCCTGACCTGTTGTAGCGATACTTTTACTACTGTACTATTACTACTGTACTATTACTACTGTACTATTACTACTGTACTATTACCACTGTACTATTACTACTGTACTATTACTACTGTACTCTTACTTATAACTATACTTTACTTATACCTTCTTATTACTTATAACTGTATCTTCATTAACTATACTTTTTACTAAAACTGTCTTAAGTATTAATAAAGTATCCCCAAGTAGTAACTGACCAATAGGAAATGACCCCTACCAATAACTGACCAATCACAGTGGGTGTTTAGATGTAACTGACCAATCACGAAGGCTCCTCCGCCCTCCAGGGGAGTGGTGGGGCCCGGGAACGAGCCCTCTGCTCGCCGTTCACCGTTCAGGTAGATGGTCCAGCTGGCGTCGTTCAGCTGGTAGAGGAAGCAGAAGTGAGCCCAAGACCGGAGTGGTGTGACCAGCTGTGAGGCGGCCCAGTACCCCTGTATGGTAACCCGGTACCCGCTCTCCCGGTGGTCTGTGTGTGAGAGATATTGACCCGGTACTAGTAGGAGTAGGATGCCCCACCAATCCTGTCCTAACATAACACTCGTAGGATACCTCACCTATCCTGTCCTAACATAGCCCTCGTAGGATGTCTCACATATCCTATCCTACCATAGCCCTCGTAGGATGTCTCACATATCCTATCCTAACATAGCCCTCGTAGGATGCCTCACCTATCCTATCCTACCATAGCCCTCGTAGGATGTCTCACATATCCTATCCTAACATAGCCCTCGTAGGATGCCTCACCTATCCTAAACTCGTTATCCTTGTCGTCAGAAACAGCGTAGGATATCAAGGTCGACTCCTCGCGGAATCTATTAAGCTTGATCCTGTAACAGATGGTGAAGGACTCCAGCCGTGGGAAGGGCTTTACCAGGCGGGCGTAGCTGGCGGCTGAGGGCGTCCCTGACTCCTGTAGGACAAGCACACGGTCCTCACCATCCCAAAGGACGCCTTCTGCAGTAGTTAACTTTGGCCGACCTGTAATTATATACATAAATAGATAGATAGAGATACATACATACATACATACATACATACATACATACATACATACATACATACATACATACATACATACATACATACATACATGCATACATACATACATACAAACATACATACATTGATTTATATATGGTGTGAGTAATACGATGATCAAAAAGTCCCTGTGTACCTCTAATACTTAACAATACAATTATTTTCCTTGTTCTACATACAATAATATCTAGACATTTTCACATTAAATGGTGTAAGTTGATCCAGTTTTCATTATTTACTATATTTATAACATTATATATCACAATATAGGTAAAATAAATCATATAACAAAGTAAGTACAACAAAGAACCACAAGATGTTTAAGTAACGTAGGTGCACAGAGACTTTTCGATCACCCTGGGGTGTAGAACTCTACGGGCAATGAAACCCACATTTCACTTACTCTCTTCCTCTGTTTAATATTACTGACTTCTGACATTTTGTTGTGGGGGTCAAGAAAATGCTTTAATATCATAGATGAGAGAGAGAGAGAGAGAGAGAGAGAGAGAAAGAGAAAGGAGAAAGCATGATAGAGAGAAAGGAGAAAGCATGATAGCGAGAGAGAGAGACAGAAAGAGGGGGAGAGAGCGATGTTTGTCACTTCACCACACTTTCCCAAGACCTTATAAGTGACCTCTCTCTGTCTCTCTCTGTTTCTCTCTGTGTATTTCTCTCTCTCTCTCTCTCTCTCTCTCTCTCTCTCTCTCTTTCTCTCTCTCTCTCTCTCTCTCTCTCTCTCTCTCTCTCTCTCTCTCTCTCTCTCTCTCTCATCTATGATATTAAAGCATTTTCTTGACCCCCACAACAAAATGTCTCAAGTCAGTAATATTAAACAGATGAGGAGAGTAAGTGAAATGTGGGTTGCATTGTCCGTAGAGTTTTACGCATCATAGTGATCGAAAAGTCCCTGTGCACCCGCGTTACTTAAACATAGTGTGGTTCTTTGTTATATCTACTTTGTTATATGATTTATTTTACCTATATTGTTATATATAATGCTATAAATATAGTAAATAATGAAAATTGTATCAACTTACACCATTTAATATGAGAATTTCTAGTGGTTTTTGCATGTAGAATACGTTAATTTATTATATTGTTAATTATTAGACGTGCACAAGGACTTTTTGATCATCGATTATTAGCTCTGCTGGGGGATGGTGGATGAACCGAACTGAACTTATCCTAACCAACCATAATCTAATCTAACCTAACCTCCCCCCCTCTCTTGACTTCCCTCTCCATTTCTTTCTCTCCACACCTCTTCCCTCTCCCCCATCTCTCCTTCCTCCCTCTCCTCTCTACCCTTCCTCTCCTCTCTCACTCTCTCTCCCTCACCTCTCACTCCCTCTCACACTCTCACCTGACGCAAAAATCATGATTCCCACCACCAACAGTGTCAATAACATGTTGTGATTGGTTCTGCTGTGGTTATCTATACTGTAATTGGTTCTGCTGTAGTTATTTTTGCTGTGATTGGTTCTGCTGTGGTTCCGTCTTGCGATTGGTTCTGCTGCTTTTCTTTCTTAGATTGCCCCTGCTGTGGTTTCTGCCTTTACAAGCAGATTGATTTTATGGTTCCGTCTTTGCGGCGATTGGTTCTGCTGCTAGATTTTCTCCGATTGGTTTTGTTTCAAGTTCCGTCTTTGCAGTGATTGGTTCAGCTGCTTTATCTTTTCTCTGATTGGTTCTGCTCTGGTTCCGTCTTTGCAGTGATTGGTTCTGCTGCTTTATATTTTCTCTGATTGGTTCTGCTGTGGTTCCCTTTACTGTTATTGGTTCTTCTGTGATTGGTTCTGCTTTGGATCCCTTTGCTGTGATTGGTTCTTGTTCCTGTAGCTTAGTGCTGTTGTCTTTGCTTCTGATTTTGATGCTTCAGCTACTGTGATAAAGAGATAAATGATTATTATGTTTTTGAAGTAATAATAATAATAATAATAATAATAATAATAATAATAATAATATGTCAACTGTTAAACTATCCGACCGAAGTACTATAGATAAACGGAAATACACACACACACACACACACACACACACACACACACACACACACACACACTGTACTTGGCCTTACAAGGTATCATAGCATCCATTGATTCTAAAGATGTCTTACTAAACTACACACATCGCCAGCACAGACGATCATCAGCGCCTGGGTAGGAACTGGAGTGAAAAAATGGCTGCGCTGATGTTTCTCGGGTGAGGAAAAGATAGATAGATAGATAGATAGATAGATAGAATGGTAACCAGAAAGTAAGAAATGAGTTGAGTTTTAATTATAAGGAGAGGTTGAGTAATTACCGTATACAGTGACAGTCTATTAAAGGTGACGTCATAACCCGGATATAAATAGAAATGAACGCGACAACAATAACACAACATGGAAGCGCTGTCGTGTTGTTATTGTCGTGTCATAGAAAACGGAGGGGATATTTGCCATGGGTAACTCATATATAGTGTTAAATATTGGTGCAGTCTTGAGTTGGTTATGGTAATCCTTGGAAAAGATATATAGAGAGTTATTGATTAATTTATTAGTAATTAAGATTATATTTCTAAGAAGAATCAAAGAAAATGGGAATTATGTGTTATATTTGGGGAATATTCTGCGAGGGTAACTATTATAAAGTGATCATAGTTGTAGAATGGTCGGCTTTAGTATATAATTCTGAGTAAATCGTAAGACAGAAGTTAATAATTTTACTACTTGATTATAGATTTTATTTCAAAGAAGAGTCGTAGAATAGTTAAGGTAATTTGCTGAGTCTGTTTCATGTTTAGTGAGTGATTACTATTATAAAGTGTTGAGGCTGGTTGCAAGGTCGTATCTACTTTGCTATTCAATGACAAAATCGTAACAATAACTCATGGACAAGGACGTAGCTTCTGAGACCACATCTGACTCCTCACATTAGTAACCCAACCCAGCAACCTAACCTAACCTAATGTAACCTAACTCAACCTAATGTGACTTGACGTAACCCAACTCGTTTGAGGTCTTATTATAATATATCTTCACATCAAATTTTATTAAACTCCATTTATATTTATTTAAGTTTTCGGATTGATAATTTCTAGACGTATAGACGGACGGGTGGACGCACAGACGCACAGACGGACACTCACCTGGACCACAGTTATGAAGGACGGGTACTGAGCTGTAATACTGCTTCGACTATCCTATAAAACATTCAGCATTACTCATGGAGTCTCTCGCTGTGATTATGCACGTTATAGATGCTAGAATTACACGCTGTCAATGGCCACTGCACCTCACCCTGACAACAAATGATGACATGACAGCAGTGGAGTTTGTGGGGAGCTAATGCCTTATATAAGCGATTGAAGACGACCCGCCAGAAACAAATGTAATACTAAAGTCAGTGAGATACGTTCATTTATTAGTGAAAGTGTAACGTATGTGTTTATATTTCATTTTAGTATTTAAAATTTACGGGTGACTTGACATATTGAATCTTTTTTAAAATTGTAATAACCTTTCTATTATTTAACAGACAAATGTTAACACTGAGACTAAACCTTAACTAAATGAGTTAATTGAACACCAATTGGCAGACAAAATTAACGCTGAGACTTTACCTTAACTAGATACGTTAACTTAACACCAATTTGGAGACAAAATTATTGTACAGAAACTTTGTAATGATTATGTACACTAATTTTGTACAACAGCTGGTTCACTGTACACTTGCCCACCAGCTGGTTCACTGTACACGTGCACACCAGTTGGTTCACTGTACACGTGCACACCAGTTGGTTCACTGTACACGTGCACACCAGCTGGTTCACTGTACATGTGCATACCAGCTGGTTCACTGTACACGTGCACACCAGCTGGTTCACTGTACACGTGCACACCGGCTGGTTCACTGTACACGTGCACACCAGCTGGTTCACTGTACATGTGCACACCAGCTGGTTCACGCACGTGCACACCAGCTGGTTCACTGCACGTACCCGCCGGGGTTCACTGTACACGTGCACACCAGCTGGTTCACTGCACACGTACACACCAGCTGGTTCACTGTACACGTGCACACCAGCTGGTTCACTGTACATGTACACACCAGCTGGTTGACTATACACATACACACCAGCTGGTTGACTGTACACATACACACCAACTGGTTCACTGTACACGTGCACACCGGCTAGTTCACGTGCACACTCGTACAGACAATGCTATGATCGATACTCATCCAAGGTTACATCTTTAGTGCATGGTAATTGTCTAATGGGTTAACTATTTCAATGGGTTAAATTAATGGGTTTATTTTTAACATTCTAAATTCCCAGTGGGTTAATACATTGCTTCTTTTTAACGGGATATATTTCTAATAGGTTAACAATTTCTAATGATCTAAAATTCTAATGGGTTAAATTTCTAATATTTTTAATTTATCAAATGGATGAAGTTAGTTTTTAATAGGTTGAATTTTCCTTATAGGTTAAATTTGTAAGTTAACCTTTTTTGACGTATTTTATTTTTTTTCTAAAGAATTAAATTTTTTTCAGTAAGTTAAACCCGGTAAATAATTTTCTCTCTTGGGTTAAAATTTTTCAATGACGTAATAATGTTTTCCCAATCTCAATTCTTGAAAATCCGCGTGAGAGAGAGAGAGAGAGAGAGAGAGAGAGAGAGAGAGAGAGAGAGAGAGAGAGAGCACTCACCGCCACGCCAGTCCTCCGCCGTCTCAACACTCACAAGGGGAATCCCCGTGAAACATTTGACCCATCAGCCCACGCCCGAGGGACACGCCCACCGCATGCGCACACTTGGTCAGATCTCAGAGACACACTCTTGGCACATGCACATGTCCCTTACACATGCGCACAACCCTTCAGGACGCATGGACAATTGGACACTATCCCGTCACATGCACACGTTCCTTACACATGCATATACATCTTCAAAACACATAATTCTTACTTTTACGCAAGTGCATAGGCCTAGCTTATGTCTACAACAAATCAATGCATACACACATCCATTACGCGTGCGCATACACCTCAAGGGCGAACGAATGCACACACTCTTGACTTATTCGCCCATATCTTACGCATGCGCATTTGAATCCCTTGAGCATGCACATATGTTCCTCTTAGATGCATACAAACCACGTGACTATGAGCTAAATTTTGTAAACAAACCTGCCCCCCCCCCCACCCCCCACCTTCTTCATTGGCTTTGAAATTCCAGTCGATCACCTCTTATCCGTTTGAATGTCAGTCGCTTAACACGTGTACGTATTGGTCATGTAGTGAGGCCTGACACGTGTACACCTTAGTCATGTGCACGGTGTGAGCATGTGTACTTATACGTCACCGAGTGTGGACTAACACATATGGACCTTAATGATCATGTGTGTGTATTCCTAGTTATGTGTACACTGATTAGAAAGGGGCCTGTTATGACTGGTCCAATCTTAATGGTTAGGTTAAGTTAGGGCCCAACAGGACTGGGGCATAATAGAACTGGGACCAATCAAAACGGGGACCTATTGGGACTGGAACCTATTTGCCCAGTCACCAAAGGGGGATGGAAAGGGTGTGGGAAGGAAGGTAGAGTGGAGAAGGGGAGTGAGAGAAGGGAAAGAGAGAAAAAGTAGTAAAATAGGAAAAGGAATGGAAGGAGGGAAAGAGGGAGAGAAGGTTGAGAGGGAGGGAAAAAAGTGGAAGGGAAGGAGGGTAAGGGAGAGATGAATAGAGAGGGGGAGGAAGATAGATAGAATAGGAGGAGAAATACAGAAATAATAATAATAATAATAATAATAATAATAATAATAATAATAATAATAATAATAATAATAATAATAATAATAATAATAATAATAATAATAATAATAATAATAATAATAATAATAATAATAATAATAATAATAATAATAATAATAATAATAATAATAATAATAATAATAATAATAATAATAATAATAATAATAATAATAATAATAATAATAATAATAATAATAATAATAATAATAATAATAATAATAATAATAATAATAATAATAATAATAATAATAATAATAATAATAATAATAATAATAATAATAATGAAGAAGAAGAAGAAGAAGAAGAAGAAGAAGAAGAAGAAGAAGAATAGGGAGACAGTAGACACAAGTACCTCCCTACTCTACCTTCCCCGGGTCGATGAACAGCCAACAAATCAAACAACAGCTGTTATTATCACCGAGGGTATACCAGTGTTACCAATCTTGCGAGTGTTCCATAAACTGAGTCAAATTTACAGTAAAGTGAGTCAGAATTTACGTAAAGTGAGTCAGATTTGATGTGGAGTCAGGATTTACGTAAAGTGAGTCAGATTTTGTAGTAAGGTGAGTCAGATTTGCGGTAAAATGAGTCGGATTTGTAGTAATGTGGGTCAGATTTGCTGTAAAATGAGTCAGATTTGCCGTAAAGTGAGTCAGATTTGCAGTAAAGTGAGTCAGATTTGTAGTAAAGTGAATCAGATTTGCGGTAAAGTGAGTCAG